GTCAGCTGAAGTGGCCTGCAGTACTGCACCCTAACCACTGCGCCACCTCGGCTCTTAAAGGACAGGGTAGAGCAGGGGTCGGTGAGTGGAGTCAGCTGATCGTCGGAGCTACCTGTTCGCCTGAACCGGTCCGAACCGGCTTAATGCCACCTCTGATTTCAATCCTGTTATGGATTGGGTTGGCCACTAAGAGCTGGCTGTTTGGGGTATGATTTGAATCTTAGGTCTTTTTAAGAAATTGTGTTTGCTCCCTGCTAATGCATAGCTACCATATTTTTGTTTATTTGTTGATGCTGTTGTTAGTTGCGGAGTCATATCCAACCCATCGCGACCCCATGGACAACGTTCCTCCAGGCCTTTTTGCCTTTTGGTACCGTCCATGGGGTTTTCATGGCAAAGATACCGGAGTGGGTTGCCATTTCCTTCTCCAGTGGGTGATGTTTTGTCAGAGCTCTCTGCTATGACCTGTCCGTCTTGCGTGGCCCTATGAGCAGATCTCATAGCCTCACTGAGCTACGCACTCTCCTTCGCCATGACAAGGCAGTAATCCATGAAGGGATTTGTTTATTACTGTGTTTATTTTTGTTTTTAGTCTTTCTTACTTTGTCTGGAGCTATAGGCTCCTCGTGCTCGCTTTGGGTTGGAGCTGTAGACGAGCCCCAGTAATTGGACCCCACATTCTGCTGGTGACATGTGAGTTTTAAAGTTGTGCGCAGCTGCTTTGAAAGGAAACGTTTGGTAGAGAAAAGGCAAGGAAGTCTTTTGTGAAAATGCAGATAGGGTTTTGTTTTATCCCATATATCTGTCATGGCGAACCTATAGCACGCATGCCACAGGTGGCATGCACAGCCCTGCCTACGGGCGCACCAGCCATCGTCCCAGCCCAGCTCCAACACAGAAGCATGCGTGCCTCTCCCAACGGCCAGCTGGTCTTCTGGGTTTTGCCGTGCATGCATGGGGGTGGGGCGCATGGGGGTGGGGCCCTCACATTGCATTTTGGGGTTCGTGTGCATGCACGGCCCATTCCACACCCCATTTTGGGCCTGAAAGTCTTCCTGCACCAACCTGGAAGTCAAAATGGGTGGTGGTGGTGGTGGTATATGTGTGGGGGGGCAGGTGCATGCATTGGGTGGGGGGGCTTACATTGCATTTTGGGGTTAGGGTGCACACTTTGGGCACTCAGCACCAAAAGGATTAGCCATCACTCCTATATATCCTCTGACATTAGCGTGATATTCTCTTCTTTTCTGAAATTTCTTTCTAGCATACTTCTGTTGCAACTTAGTGGAATGTGGGTTTTGTTTGTCTCAGTTGGTTTGTGAAGTACAGGTGACACTTGAGGTGTGTTTTTGAAGAGTTCAGAAAAAGGAAGAAAATGTCTTTATGTAATTGATATGGCTTGCGTTTCACGTTGCTTTTTATTTAAAAAAAAATCACTTTTTAACTGAAAAGTGCAAAAGGATGACTGTGTTTAAGTCTCCCATTTCTTTAAACATGGTTTTGAATTCTTCCGGAATAAAACTTGGCGAGAGGGCTCATCTTTATGCATGCGAGCAGTTTTAATGACTTTCTAACATCTTTCCTCAGCCAGGTGCCTTCCGGATGTGCTGCAAGTCAACTCTCATAACCCTTCTCTCAGATTGTGAGAAAGCTTCATTCCAGGCCTGATGTGGAAATAATTTGTGGTTTACAGTCAAGCACATACATAAAATCCCACAATCCAATTAAATCTTGAAGTTGCTTGAAGTTATTTATTTAGGAAATGTATATGGCCTGCCCAACTTGAACAACTCTGACTGTAGGCGGGGTACAGTCAACACACAGAAAAGCAAAGAGCAACAGACCCATACAAATAAAAAACTGCAAAAGGAATTGATCGTTAGATAGCTTATTAATAGATTTTCAAAAGAAATTAATAGGCAATCGGCATGCCAAATCTACTTTAAATCAGGGGTGGAATCCTCCAGGTTCAGCCCGGTTTGGCCAAACTGGCAGGGATGATTTGCATCAGTTCTCCAAACNAGAAGAAGAAGAAGAAGAAGAAGAAGAAGAAGAAGAAGAAGAAGAAGAAGAAGAAGAAGAAGAAGAAGAAGAAGAAGAAGAAGAAGAACAACAACAACAACAACAACAACAACAACAACAACAACAACAGATTTATGGCACATTTGGAAATTTAGCAGGCAGTTTCAAAAGGCTAATGCAATGCTACTAATCACTAATGCATTCAGTCTGCTATTTTCATCATAAGATTGATTTTAAATTTCATACCCTACAAAGATAACACCTGGTCTCATTATTTTTTTTACAAAAAATGCTGTTTCTCCACTCACTTCTCTATATAGCATTTTATCTGAAGAAGAGTTCTGCAGACTTTAAAACCTTGCATACTCTTTGATGTTAGTTTGATTGGTCCTCGTATAGTTGTTGCCTCACCATACATGTCCTTTGCATTTTATGGCATGTGAAGGGATGTCAAGTTGCATTCATGCAGGAAAGCAAATGGAAAACCGCTTTTATCATTAGGGAACAAAACCAATGCCTTTTTTAGAATTAATTGAAATGTCACAAAAGAAGACACTTTGTTGATACAGATGATTGACTGAGTATTGCTAATGTGCTTACAAATTAACTTATGGAGTGGTTAATATGTAATAAATGTTTGTCAATCATCTCCTTAATTCAGCCTTAAAAGGAACAGCAATTCATCCATTGCTCCCAAGGTATCCCTTACTTTAGCCAAATTACTGTATGTTGTTCATTTTGTAAATGTCACTTCAAACTTCTGTCACTTCTGAATTACCATTGCTTTCCTTATTCACACACAGCAGCTTGGGGAACAGATAATATAATTAAAGCACACTACTTAATTAGCCTTAAACTACCTACAAAATTCATATTTATATATTTACACTAAGAAATCCACCCTAAGTGTATAATAATTGGAATAGGTCTTGGGATAATTGGAATAATTGGAATAGGATTAGAAATAATGAGATATGGGAAGATCTACCGGTTGAGTAATAATTAAAAGACTGACTTCTTTTTCCTGCCTGTCATTTCCATGCATTCCCCCAACCCCCTCTTTTGGCTCAACGACTCTATTTCTAACATAGTCCATACCTCTAGGGATAAATTATGGAGGGAACTTTTATAATTTATTAGCTAGAAATATGGGACCGATGGGCCTCTGAAATTAAATAGAAGATTATCTAAGACTGAAGTAACTGCAGATTCAATCACTATACGAAGCCTTGGGTAAGGGTCCAAAAGGACAGATGTATGGAGCATCTAATTCCCATGGCAATAATCAAAGTGAGACCTTCCTTTAATCCAAGGACAATTAATATACTGTTTGACAGAATCTTTTGGCACGCTTCTCTAAAGCTAAAATCTTTGAAGCAACATCATTTGCCAGAGAACAGCTGAACTTGGAAAGCCAAGGACATCTTGGAACTTGGCACTTTCTGGGGCTTGAACCTGATGTAGTGGCAACTGTCCCATCCACTCTTCCAACTATAGGATTCAACTGCTAAATTATTTTATTCTTTCCAATGTTTTTTGAATAGCAGCCACTGCTCTTTTTTTCCCCCTGTGGGCCCAAATTCCTTTATACTTTCCAGCAGGAAAAAATGCAAGCAAGCCAGCCATCAACTGCTGCTCATTTGCCTTGTTACCATTCAAAAAAACAAAACAAAAAAAAAACCAACCCCAACTCAGTACTTTCTAGGGAACACAGAACCACAGAAATTACCCAGGATCAGGGGTGGTATTCACTTACCTTCCCTACCGGTTCACAAATGTGAGTGTGCCCGCGGTTCCTTCGCGGTTCCTTCGCTTGCACATGACTTGTTCGTGTAGGCGCTTTGGCTTTAAAAAGTGCCTAAATGGGATGGCATAGAGCCAGGGCAGCTGAGCAGGGCTACCCGCAATTTCCACCACTGGTTCGGGCAAACTGGTCCAAAGCGACAGAATACTATCTCTGCCCAGGATGCTCCTTTTAGACAAGAGCCAGCAGTGTGCAGCAGCTGCCAAAAAAGCCAACACAGTTTTAGGCTGCATAAACAGAGGGATAGAATCAGAATCACGTGAAGTGTTAATACCACTTTATAAGGCCTTGGTAAGGCCACACTTGGAATACTGCATTCAGTTTTGGTCGCCACGATGTAAAAATGATGTGGAGACTCTAGAAAGAGTGCAGAGAAGAGCAACAAAGATGATTAGGGGAAGAACAGTTGTGGGAACTGGGTATGTCTAGTTTAATGAAAAGAAGGACTAGGGGAGACATGATATCAATGTTCCAATTTCTCAGGGGCTGCCACAAAGAAGAGGGAGTCAAGCTATTCTCCAAAGCAGCTGAGGGTAGAACAAGAAGCAATGGGTAGAAACTAATCAAGGAGAGAAGTAACTTAGAACTGAGGATTGATGGATGGATGGATATGGATATGGATATGAATATGGATATACTTATGTTATAAACCACAAAAGGCATAATATTGGCTTTGGCTGTTAAGTCTTGGTTTCTCACACATCTGATTTCCTTAGTTTTTCAACTTCTTGTTTTTTCTATCTGTCATCAAACTCCACAAATAATATTGGACAAAAGTCCCCTTGTTGGTATTCACCCAGTCCTTTACGTTGGCATTTGAATCCGTGCAAAAACAAAGCGTGTCCTTTCAAGGGACAAGTAACTTATGCACGCCGGTGCTACTTTGATCTCCGTTCAAATTCTCATTGTTAAAGCAATTACAAAATGCCTTGCTATAATTAGGACGGCTGCCTGAATGTCTGCTGTGAGGGAGCTGTTATCATGGAAATTTCTGGCATCAGGACTTTCTTAGATAGAGATGATCTTCCTTACCCTAAAAAAAAATAAAAAGCTTTTCTGTTTATTGAATGACACGCTACTGTTGTGGAAAGAATGACACGTTACTGTTATTATTTCAAGCAAAGGTATATGTGTAAATGCTAATTTTATTCATCCAGCTGCCTTTCCTTTGCAGGTATTAGAAGACAGCACAGGCGTTCGGAGGGTGGTTGTCACACCCCAGTCTCCAGAGTGCTATCCTGCTAGCTATCCTTCTGCCATTTCTCCAACGCACCACCTACCACCATACCTCACTCATCATCCTCATTTCATTCATAACTCTCATACAGCTTTCTACCCGCCTGTTACTGGGCCTGGAGATATACCACCTCAGTTTTTTCCTCAGCATCATCTTCCGCCTACCATTTATGGAGAGCAAGGTAAACTCAACTGCACGCCTTTCGAATCTAGGTTTACGTGTTTTGCCGCGCTGCCTTGATTGTTGAAACAGGATGGGGGCCCAGGCTGCCTTCGACTTACAACCACACCTGGGATCGATATTTTCATTGGCATTAAGGGAGTCACGTTGGATGTTTCCACTCCTCCTTCTTTTTTTTGATCGCAGTTGTTGAACAGTTGGTGGCAGTTTTGGTGATTAAGCAAATCCAGCTTGACCCACTGACCTCGCGGGTCAGACACCAGGTGGGAAGGTGACAGGTGTGGCTATCACATGACACAGCTGGACACTGCAGCTGGTTGTCAACATTTACGATGGTTGCAGTATCCAGGAGTCACGTGATCACAAAGTCAACGGGGAAGCCAGCCGTGTCGCTAACTTAACAACTGCAGCGATTCCCTTAGTAACCATGGCTATAAAATGGAGCAAGCCTCACTTTACAAGTGTCTCGCTTAGCAACAGGAATTTTGGGCTCAGTTGTGGTCTGTGGGCCGCCTGTAAAGAAATGCAGGTGGCATTTGCATTGGAAGCTGAACTGTATCCCCTTTACCTTGTTTCGTTTCAGAAATCATATATGGAATGTCAAGTTTCATAAACAGGGAAGATCAGTACAACAAACCGCAGCACAAAAAAATCAAAGACAGGCAGATCGATCGCCAGAACCGCTTGAACAGCCCTCCAGCCATCTACAAGAGCCATCCAGCGTGTACGACGGTCTACAACGGTACCCTCAAGACTCAAAACGGGGCCACCAATGGGGCAGGAGGCATCGGAGGCATCAGTGGAGGGGGGATGCCAGTCATCAAAAAGGCAGAACGCAGAGCAAGAAGCAGCCCCAAGACCAACGAACAGGATTTGCATGGTAAAGTTAGCTTCCTTTCTTTTTTCTTCTTCTTTTTGCATTACTTCCTATTGCTACAGATTTATGGAAACAAGCTAGGAGAAAAATAAAAGAAATACATGGGACTCACACCGTGTGCAGATGGATAGATGGATGGATGGAAGATAGATGGATGGATGGATGGATGGATGGATGGATGGATGGATGGAAGATGGATGGATGGATGGATGGATGGATGGATGGATATAGACAGATTACAGCTGATAAGGAAGGAGAGCTTGTGGCTTAGAGGCTAATACAACTACCTAACATGTAAAAACATCCCTGGCTCAAATCCCAGTAAGGGTATGGCTAGCTGATGAGAGCTAAATAGCTTGAAATAGATCTATACTATATTTATTTATTTCTATACTAGTCTCCCTTTATTTATT